CTTGGCCTGGTAGGTCTGCTCCAGCTCCTGCCGGTACAGCCGCACTTGCTCGGCGTGCTGGTCACGCAGCTCCGCCAGCGCCTGCGCCATCTTGGCGTCGTGCTCCTGCTGCCGGCTGCTGTCCACCTCCACCAGGCGCCGCTCGTGCCGCCGCCGCGTCTCCCGCACCTCCTGGGGACAAAGCCTCGGTCACCCCGCGAGGAGGGGGTCAGAGGGCGCCAGGCTTGAGGAGGGCCAGAGGGCGCCCACGGGACCCTCAGGCGCTGCCTGGCTGCTGTGCACAAGCCAGCCCCCGACGCGCTTCACCGTGCCACGTGGCACACCACGGGGGATGGACGCAACTCGGCCACGAGGGAGGCGGTGGCTCTGACACAGGCCGCAGCGTGGAGGGACCCTGACGTCACGCGCCATGAGAGCCAGACACGCAACGACACACGGGGCGACTGGGCCTGTGAACGTCCGCAACAGGCCGGTCCACAAGCAGGGGGTGGATCTTGGGCCCGGGGGCTGGGGGTGGGGAGTGATGGGAGGCGGCTTCCTTTTGGGGGTGAGGAATGTTCCAGAACCAGAGGCAGCGGCTGCACGGCCCTGTGGAGGCCCTACTCATGCTAAAGCATAGCTTTCAGACGGTGTGCTTCACGGTGTGGGAATCACATCTCACAAAAGCTGTGAGTTTAAAAGAGTAGCCGGGCGCGGGGATGCCCGTGGTCCCAGCTGCCAGGGAGGCTGAGACGGGAGGATCACCAGCTTGGACCAGGAGACCCCGACACAAATAGAAAAATGTAAGACAAATAAATGAATGAACGAGTATAAATCACCGGTGCTGTCACCCCTCAGCCAGACAGGGATGCCCCCCAGGACACGAGGCACAAGCCACAGGGTGGCTGGCCAGACACGCAGTGACCTCGCGGGGCGCAGCGCACGGGAGGCAGCGTCGGTGTCTGACCCGCCGGCCTCCGCCTGGGCGGCAAGGCCGTGTGACCAGCTGCTCCCGAGGGAGCCGGGCATCCGTCTCCGCGTGGCCGTTGCACATGCACAACCAACCCCGGAGGTGTGCCCACCTTCGGGACGCCCCCCACAGGCCTCTGCCCGGCTCCCTGGTCCGGCGCCCTCCAAGAGCACGGGGCAGCCTTCGGGGGAGTCTTCGAGGGTCCCCGCACAGGCCTCTGCCCAGCTCCCCCCAGGAGTTCCTTCAAGGGCGTGGGGGTCTTCACGGGTCCCCTTGAGGGCATCTTCGCGGGGCTGCCGGCAGGCCCCCTCCCGGGTCTCTCAGACCCCCTTGTGGGCGTCCTCGCAGGGTCCCACCCAGTCTTGGTCCCCACAGGAGCCTCCGAGGCTCCCTCGTGGGCGCCCTTCTAATCCCCCACAGCTCCCCTCACGGCCTCCTTCCCATCCTGGTCTCACTGAGCGCCTGGCTCCTCCTAGCCTCGAGAGCAGGAGATGGCTGGCTCCCACATTCCGCACTGCTGTGACAGCACAAGGGCTTCTGTGACAGATGCGGCCCCCAAGGGCCCGGCCACACCTTCACCGGAGGAGCCGGAGGCCCAGCTGCGAAGAGGATGCAGGTGGGAGCAGCCACTAGAGAGGGGCGAAGGCTCAGCCCGGCCCGGAAGCTGGCCCAGCAGGTGTGTCCAGCTCTGATCACAGAAAGTCACTCTGGGACCGCTCTGATCTGGAAAGTCACTCTGAGCTGTCCAGATGGGCTGTGACCCCAACGGCAAGTGTCCTCGCGAAACACGGACGAGGCCGGGACAGAGTCACGTGGCCACAGGCCCAGCTGCCCAAAGCCCAGGAGCAGGGGCAGACGGCCTCCCCAGACCCCCTGCCCTCCAGCGCGGCTCCCACCTCCTCGAACACGCTCCGGCGGAAGTCTAGCTCCTCCTGGAGGCTCTGGCAGCGGTTCTCCAGGTCCACCCGCATCAGCGTCTCCTTCTCCAGCTGCTGCTTGGCCACCACGTGCCCGTCCTCGGCCTGCGGGCGGACGGCAGCTGAGCAGCCTGTGGTGGCGGCACGCGCCGTGGGTTCCCTAGGCCCCGCCTACCTTGGCCAGCTGGGCCCGCAGCTCCGAGGCCTCACTCTCCAGGCCGCGCTTGTCACTGAGGGCAGCCGCCAGCTCCGCCTCGCTCCGGTGGAACAGCGACTCCAGGTCCTTCACGCGACTCTGGGCCACCGTGAGCTCACCCTCGCGCTTCTTGGCACTGGAAGGCAGGGGTGGGCGGTCAACGATCGCGTGGGGCCACTCCGCCCACGGGCAAGGGCACCAGGCCAGGTGGAGGCTGCCGGGTCTCCGCGGCCTGTGTGCACGAAGGGGCCGGCCGCCTCCAGCGCGGCCCCCGTGCCTGGCAGAGGCGCCCCCTTCACATCCAAGCTGCAGCCTCAGAGCCCGGCAGGCGGCAAGCGCAAGGGCTCGCCACGGCCTCACGGCACGGGCATCCGCGAGCGCGCCATGTGGGACGCAGGGGCGCTAGCTGCCCGGACCCAGTGCCAGCCCAGGAGTCCCAGGAGAGCCCCGGGCCTGCCGTGGACCTGCACTCCCGGACGCACCCAGTGCCGCCACCCCGGTCTCCTGCCACACGCTGGCAATGACACTGTCTGAACCCACAAATGCCAGCACCGGCCCAGCTCCGAGCGCTTGTCAACCTCATGTGCAGCCCTGGGGGTGGAGGCTCACCCCGGCCCAAGGAACCCCCCGTGTCCTCCAGCCGGAGCATCCTCTGGGGTGGGGGCCGTGTCCCGGCTCCGCCCCCCACGCCAGGAGCACCCCTGGCGTGACACCCGCCCGTCCTCAGGCATCGCCCCATCCCCTCGGGCTGAGGCCCATCGGTGGAACAGGCCACACAGCGGGGCTGCTGGGCCGTGGGGACCCGCTCCCAAGGGGCTGGGGCCAGAGACGAGGGAGACACGGGTGGGGCGGGGCAGGACGAGAGGGGGCGAGAGGCCCTCGCCTGGGCGGCCTTCGACGCGGCCTCAAGGCCCCCCGAGGTATCTGGCCCCAGCCCAGGGGGCCACCTCCCCCTGCTGCCGGTGCCTTCCTACCCAGCCCGGTAAGTGGCCACGTCAGCGTCTGCTTCCAGTCCGGTGTGGACGAGGGGCTGCCCTGCTGGGCTCCCAGCACCAGAGCACAGGACAGGGAGGTGTGGCCTGGCCGGGGTCCCACTTGACCCCGGGTGCCCCAGTGCACGGGTTCCTTGGTCGGGGTCGACACCAAGCAGAGCATGTCCTGCCTGGCGCCCTGTGGACATGCAGCTGGCTGTGTCCCTTCCCGCCTGGCCAGGGCTGCGGAGGGCACCACACCCGGAGACCTGGAATCACCGCTCAAGTGTGAAGGCCAGAGAGCAGTCGCCAAGCGTGTCCCCAGGCCCGGGGACACCGAGCTCGACGGCCAGGCTTGGGGCGCAGATGCCGCACGCCCGAGCTTCCGCGCACGGACAGACCCTTCCACCCAAGAGCTGTGAGCCCTTGCAGAGGCTTGGGGGCCTGGAACCACAGGACAACCGCAGCTGGGCGCCAGCAACACGGAAGCACCACCCTCATGCTGGGGAGGCATCAGACACCCGTCAGGGAGGCCTGCACGGGCCTGGATTGAACGGGGGCAGAGCATGGGAGGGCACGGGGCAGTCCCCGAGAACAAGGGCGCCCCCGGCCAAGGGGAAGCGATGCCCAGGCCCCAGGCTGTGGAGGGCCGGGCAGCCTCGGGTCGGCGCAGAGCCCAGGTGGGTGGGGCAGAGACCCAGGGAGCCCGGGGACCCCACAGCCCCAGCAAGGATGGTGACTCCACATGGCCTCACCTCCAGCCCCGGTCCTGCAGAGCACCCGGCCCAGAGAGCAGGGCCGGGCGAGGCCTCAGCGCCCCTCCCGGGGTGCCAGGCTCCCCTGCCCCCGCCCCGCAGTGCGCACACCGCTCCTGGGAGCTGTGGGGGGATCGGCTCGGGGCCGCCGTGGAGCACCCGCGTTTCAGCCCACACAGGGTGTGGCCATAAATGTGTTCAGAAAAGCACCAGCTGCACCGCTGGGAGGGTGGCCGGCCAGACCCAAGCGGGGAGGGGGCAGCTGGAGGGGCCCCTGGGAGCCGCACGCGGGGCAGGCACGGTGGTGGACTTCTGATGACCGGAAGTCGAGGGGAGAAGCCACAACCCGGTCCACCACTGTCGTCCGCGAATGACTCGGTGTCGTGTCGTCGTGCTGACACCCGCTGCCCAGTCAACACCATCACCCGCAGACGACCTTGGGGCTCCGTGATTACACCAGCACTGGGGAGCTGTCCCCGACAGACCTGCCTGTTCCACGCAGGCAGGCCCTGGAGACGGACAGCCCGGAGTGGCGGCCACTCAGGCCGGAGCACCGGCGGGACCAGCGGGCGGGGTGCCAGATGGGGCCACCCACCCCAGGCACAGGGCCTGCCACCGGATCCCTGGTCATGACTCTGGCCACATTCCAGTGTGGGAGGCCGCGGCGTCCCCCGACCCTGCCCTGGGAGGTCTGAGACTCTCATGCCACGGGGGGGAGCCCCGCTCTAGGGCGAGCCTGAGTCAAGTCGGCCCCTGCCAGGTTCCCCAGGCCCTCGGCGGACACCCCCTTCGTGCTTCCTGCTGTTTCACCGCCTGCCCGCCATGCCCGCATCAGAAGCGGCGAGCATCTCTGAAGGACACGGATGTCACGCAGAGGGACTTCACAGCAACAGCGGGGCAGCCCGGTCACACACCTGGACGTGGGAGTGTCCTGGCCACGAGGCCGGGGAGCCCTGGCACAAAGGACGTCTGACAGCAAGGGCACGTGCACGATGGCCCCCGATCGAAAGTGTCTCCCGTCCACGGGGCGTCACCGGGCTTGGGTAAGAGTTGGTGTGTGTGCACGTGTTGGTGTGTGTATACGTGTCCTGGCATGTGCGCGTGCACAGAGGAACAGGCCGGGTCCCCCAGGGCAGCTCTCGCTGCCAAGCCTCACGGGGACTTCACTGTCGCTTAAGCGCCTCCAGGTCCCGCTTTCCGGACGGTGAGTATCGACGGGGTTCACAAGCAGGACCGAAGTGCCCTGGCAGCCGCTGAGTCACACGCGAGCCCCAGGAGCCCTCTGCACGGCCCAGCACCCCACCCCCGTGTGCACCGTGGTCCCGGGTCAGGCGACACCATGTCCAGACGTGACCGCTCACCTCTTGTTGACCTCGTCCAGCTCGGCCCTCAGTTTCCCCATTTCGATCTGCAGCCGGGCGCGCTCCCGGGCCGTCTCATCCAGAACTCTCCGGGCGTCGGCCAGCTCCGACTCGTACAGCGCCTTGATGCCGCTGACCTGGGGGACATGCCACCATCAACAGGAGCCCCTGCCCTCGGGAAGGCCTTCCCCGCAGAGCCCCTGCCCACAAAGAGATTCTTCCTAGGGTGGCGGCCGCCAGGCAGCCACTCGTCCCCTGACGCTGCCCAGACCCCCGGGGCTGGTGCCAGCCGGTGCCGGGACCGCTCACATCCCTGGCTCCCCCGTCAAGCCCCACTCGCCGCAAACCGCGCCAGGCGCTGGAGCCCGAAGCCCAGATTCAGCCGGGTACCAAGCCTGTCCCCCCACCAGGTCCCCCACCGGGGCCTCAGTCCAGCCACATCCGGATGAGCCCCCAGCCTCAGCCACAGCCACGCTGCCCGGCCATTAGGTATGTTTTTCACGCTCCCAGTTTCCAGAATCGGAAAATGGGGGGAGCCTCCCATCGAGGGTCTCCCCGGGCCCCTGGGCCGGAGCCTTCTCTGGGGGCGTCCTGGGCGCCGTGGTGCTGAGCGGC